TGTGTGTTACTGTTACATGAGAAACTATCTGTTCTGTAAGCCTTCACCTGAAGTACAATAAAATATTAAAAAAAAAAAAAAAATTGTGTTGTTTTGAGCCATTAAATTTGTGGTCTGGAGAAGGACATCATGCTTGGTAAAGTAGAGGGTCAGTGAAAAAGAGGAAGACCATCAATGAGATGGATTGACACAGTGGCTGCAACAATGGCTTAAGCATAACAAAGATTGTGAGGATGATGCAGGACCGGGCAGAGTTTCATTGTTTTGTACATAGGGTCGGTATGAGTCAGAACCAATTCAGTGGCACCTAACCTCAACAACAACAAATTTGTGGTAATTTGCTACAACAGCAGTAGGAAACTAATATGAGATCTATGTTTACGTATTCTTAATAGACTAAAATATATTGATTTAAGAACTGTGTAATATGCTAAAATAAATTTAAACTTCTTAAAGTCAGCAGTTTTAAACTCTGTTAGGGGCATAAATCAATGTCTTTTTTACATTTCTATTATTAAGCTCTTTAGAACCTAAAAGTCATTGAAAGGCTAAAAGAAGGCATCATAAATAAGATGCGATTATGTATTTTTTCATCTTTTCTTTACATTTAAAGTTAAAGAAATATTCAGATTTATATGTTTCCTTCTTTGGGGTCTTATAATCAATGGAAGAATTAAGTATACCTTTTTTCCTAAATATTTTCTTAAGCCCACAGTCTGATGGCAGAAATACATAAATTCTATTAATAGGTTCAAAACAACCAAGGTGTTGCATTTATAGAGGTAAAGCACTTACTCAAAGGCAAAATTCACAATGCCTTGGTTGTTATCTATTTATTCACCGTCTCTGAATTGATACTCATTAGCTCCAAAAAAGTTTAAGGACCATGTCAGTCTGGTTCTGTATCAACACTACCTAGTAATAATCCTGAACTTTCAGCAGGCTTTGTGTTTAATACATGAATGAAAAATAAACATATTCTTAAAGCTACTATAAAAACCTGGAAACAAAACTTCAAAGACACTTCAATTTACTAGCTCACTGAAGAACTTAAAAGGTATATTCTATGTATCTAGAGATTAAACGTTAAGAGAGAGAACTTATTTCAAACATTTTCAACAGAGATCTTCTTAAATGTGCTATATGCTTCCCTGCATTCTTAATCAGACTCATTAAACATAATTCAAATTTATTGATAACTTGGTATCTTTATCGGAGCCCTGGTGGCATAGTGGTTAAGAGTTTGGCTGCTAACCAAAAGGTCGGCAGTTCAAATCCACCAGCTGCTCCTTGGAAATCCTATGGGGCAGTTCTACTCTGTCCTACAGGGTCACTACAAGTCGGAATCGACTAGATGGCAACAGGTTTTTTTGATATCTTTATCATCAACAGATATTGTGATGTTCGTGTGACATAACCAGTATGACACATAAGGCTTCATGACCTGGAACTTGCTTTCTGAAAATGTTCTGGATGTCAGTTTCTTTAGTCCTTTTTCCCCTCATAAAAATGTAGTGAACTACAGTACATCTATAGGTCCACCTGTGAAATGAAATATGGCTGCCTGTCTTCACAACTGCTCAGTGAAAGACCTGCTCTTCTTCTAAGTGATTTTTTTACCCTCTAGAACAGCACTATCCGACAGAAACATAATACAGGCCACCTACATAATTTAAACATTTCCAAAATATTATTATTTCAAAATGCAATCAAAAGTAATCAAATATTTTATTTTGTTTTCAAACTATGTCTTAGAAATCTGGTGTGCGTTTTACACTTACAGCAGACCTCAAAATTTTGACTAGCCACATTTCAAGAGGCTAGTGGCTACCCTATTGAACAGCTGCAGCTCTACAGAAGTCTACTTCCCTGCCTTCAGTGAATTACATACCTCCTTAACTTGTAGCTCCTGCTCTATCTTATTTGTATTGTTTGTTCACATGGTGGGAAGGACTTTTTCGCTAATTCAGGAAACCATCATCACCATCCTCAGGTCTCTGTTTTTTCCCCAGTATATCCTTAATGTATGAAAAGCAATAGAATTCCAGGTATATGTTGAATTGTACATCTTTAATGAAAAAACACATTTGAGGGTATTAGGGCGGATTAATAAATTTAATCTTTTGCATGTTTCATATTTTGAGAGATAAACACAATCAAATACAGACTAATCTGGGAGAGAAATACACAAGGAAAAGAAAACGCTTTCTCTGGCGCTGTAATGTTGCTTCAAGGAGACCTGGTAGCGCAGGTGTTCAGCGCTCGGCTGCTAACCCAAAGGTTGGCGGTTCAAACCCACCCAGCAGCTTCAGGGGAGGAAGACCTGGCGATGGGCCCATTAAAATGTCAAAAAAAAAAACAAAAAAAAAACATTGCCGTCAGTCGATTCTGACTCATAGCGACCCTATTAGGACTGAGAACTGTCCCGTAGTTTCCAAGGAGCGGCTGGTGAATTCCAACTGCCAACCTTTGGGTTAGTAGCCTGAGCTCTTAACCACCGTGCCACCAGGGATCCCTTGTAAAGATTAAAATCAAAAACCAAAGCCGTTGCCGTGGAGTCGATTCCGATGGGGCAGTTCTACTGTCACATGGGGTCGCTATGAGTTGGAATCGACTCCACGGCACCTCACAACGTTGCTTCTACGGGATAAGCTTTTGACTAACAAAAGAGCTGTTGCCCGGCTGAATGCTCCTTTGGAGGCAGGGGGGTTGAGGTAAGAACGTTTTCGTTCTTAAAACCTACTATGTGCCAGCAGCGTTATATCCCTGACTTCATTTAAACCTTAGAGCAAACGCACCAGACTGCCGTTTGAATGAGAAGGCAATGGCGCTTCTCAAAGCAGGCTGCACATTAGAACTGCCTGCCTGGTGAGCTCTTTAAAAAAAA